ATTTTTGTATTTGTATTTTTTTTTATTAAATAGTTATAATAATATTTTATTAAACCATTTATAGCTATATATATAAATACAGAATATCATTTAACTTATAAGTCTATCATTATCTGGTCATCTAAACAGTACCTAAATGCAACCTGTTGTACTAATCTAGTTAGAACTAGAAATTATGACTTGTCTGACCCCTGCCCTACAATAGGATACTGCTAATCTGAAGACATCTTCTTATAGAGAAGAAAAAAACAAAAAAAAAAAGATTTTAAAATTAGAAAAGAAAGAAATGAAAATAGTAAGAAAAATAAACTAATAAAAAAAAAACAAAACTGATCTATAAGGAGAATAAAAAAGAAAATCTGCTAATAAGATAAAATTCTATTTTATGATTGCTGCTCATTACAATGTTTTTATTATTTTATAGACTATGGCTATTCTCTAAAAACTAGGTACTCTTAACTAGAATGAAAACTGTATTTATTTGTAGAACAGAATTCGAGTCAGGTACTTTCCATATAGGAGAATTCTTTAAGTAGATGAGGTACTGTGACAAGGTTTAGAATACACTTAAGTGATCCAATTCTTTATAAATCCTTATAACTATTTTTTTAAAAAATATTATATACATGGCCTTGGAATATATACATATCTTAATATATTTTTGATCTTTTCAAATTAAATCTTTTTCTGATCTACTTCACATAATTGACTGACTTATGTGTTTGTTATGTTTCTTATTTACTATATCTAAACAAATACATAATCACAAAAGGAAATAATATATAATATTAATCTTTTAATAAATATAAGTCAAATCTCTATTTTTCAAAAAAAGAAAACAAAAAAAAGATAAAAAGAAGATATATCATTGTTATAAGAATTCAAATTTTTCTAGTTATTCTTCTTTTTCTTCTGCTTCTAATATTCTTAATCAGAGAACTAATTTTGTCTCTATTTGTTTTTAGAATATTCTTTTAGTTTGGATACCGAATATGTGAGAGAGTTCACCAAACAAAAAACTTAATCTAAGACAAAAACCATTCAAGTTTCACCTGCTTCTTAGTATATCATGTACTTGAGCTTTGTCAACAGCAAGTTTATTTCATATAAAACTAAAAATATTATCCATTTTGAAGCCAGAGTCTTCAATCTACTTTTAGTACCAACTTGATCCAAGTGATCATTAGAAAGAATTATTATTATTATTTGTTGTATTTGCATTTTAAATTTAAAAATATATATAAAATATATATATATATTTTACAAGATAAATAACATTAATTTATAATTCAAATATTTTAACAAATAAACTTTTGTTATATAAAATTTTAATTGTTTACAATTATAATGTTTAAGAGTTTTATGTTAATAAACCTTTTTTATACTTTTGAATTATTTTACTTAATATAAGATACGGTAGTAAGGTTTAGGTACTTTTTGATTTTTAGAACTTTAGACTTGAATTTGTTGTTTTTAACAAAAAGTTTTATTTTTTCTTTATTTTTTGTTAAAATAAGAAATAATTAAGTTTACGAATATAATTGGTTGATTGTCACATGTTTTACAAGTAGCCAATAATAACGTGTTATTAAATTTCATGTAACAACCAATCACGAATACATTATATCTTTAGTAAAACTGGTTTGGGACTGGATTTGGATTCTAAATCATATGAAGTTACGTTCTATATTTAGGTAGCGTTTTCACAAAAAATTGCAGGATTATAATTAAACCAATACGACTATTAGTAAAATTTCACAAGGAACGTTTTTAATTAGACCGCAGAAGGTGGCTTCTCGTTTCTATGTTTACGTTACACCTGATCCTGAAATTCGATTGGTCAAAATTACAAGGGATAAAAACCTACTTATCGTTATACTTGTTTACTTCTAAAGCTAACTACCCCCAACCTTAAAAAAAATGCATCCCAAAATTTTGACTTGTCCATTTTTACACTATACAAAGTTCATTTTAATCCGCCACAATAAACGATAGTACAGCTTAAATTAAAAATTAAAATAATCATAAGCCAAATCTTTTTATAAAAATAGTAAAATAAAATCTTAAGAACAAAATTATAAAGTTTTTTTTTTAATTAAAAAATGAACATACCGGGTTGGTGAAAAGTAACTGACCAGTGACCTTTTTTACTATCTCCGTTAATATTGAATTTCTATAATTATCGTTATTTATTATATCTACGCAATACTGATATAAGCGTTAAGTGATAATCAATAGTATATCGGAGAGTTACTTTTCACCAACCCGGTATAATAACAAATTTATTAATAAAATTTGGCCATCTTAATTCTGGCCAAGGTTATCTAAAATTAGCATAATTCTGATCATACTCCATGTTTATTTATATTCTGACACCTATATTATCCAATCATATTGCTTTATTTTGCATAAAGTTATTCCTGCACTGTATTTTTTCTAACAAATTGACATTTTTTAAGTGGTCTTTAATGTAGAAAATTTGCTTTTTCTATAACTATACGTATTTATTATAATAAGTTCATTGGTTTTCATACGTATGAGTAAATTTTTCTTCACACCGTTTGGTCCATTAACATCTAAACTTTTTCCTGTTCACTACAAATCATTACTTAATTACTTAATAAAAGGAATCAAATGAAAATGAATTATAGTTTCTAATTAACACTTTTCTCAGGATTATCACATGGTCGTGGAATTTTCCAAATTTTCCGCTGTTTGGCGGTTCGATAACGATAAGTTCTGTATTACCATTTTTTTTAAAAAAAAATATAAAATAGTGAAATAAAATAAACCGGTAATTTAGATAATTTCATTTAGAGTCGATTTTCATAATGCAGAAACGTCAACAAGGCTATATACAACTTTCGAATTCAACATCTTTGTCGGAACCTTCAGCTCAAAAGCCTTTAGTTATAAATCCACAGACCGAACCTCAAGTTGGCGGGAGAGCCAGAGTAAAAGCGAAACAGCCTAATAGAACGACAAAGACAACTCAGAAATTAAAACTTTTTCCGGAAGAACAAATAGCTAATAATGTTGAAGAAGTGAATGATGGAAAATATAATCAAATCAGTCAACTTACACAAGTAACCGCTAGAAGGGAAGCTGAGAGACTTAGCAAACAAGAACGACTTAAGCTTCCCCGGGTCACTGCTTATTGCACAGCTGCGTATGCTAATTTTTGAAATAAATTCTTCCTTTTATTGTGCCTAAGTCATATTCTTTTTACTAATTTATTTTACTTTTTTAGAACTTATCGGTTAGATGATTTAATGAAATATCTTCAAAATCGAAAAGTACGTAATAGTACCGCTCCAAAACGTTTGGATGAATGGCAAGTATATAAATGCTAATTATTATTTTGAAATATTCCAATATATCTACAATTGAATTAATTTATTTCTGTTTATTTACTCATCACATAGCATATATACTCCATTTTCCTTTCGTCCACCTAAACCACCAACTACTGCTGATCTTTTAGGTCTCGAGGATGCTGTAATCCCTCCTCAAGAGCTGGATCAACAAATTCCTGAAATTATTTTCTTTGATTATGGTGTTGTTGTCATCTGGGGCATGAAAGAGGTTGAAGAAAAAAGTCTATTACGTGAATTAGTTGCCTTCGAAGACGAAAAATTAGGTAGGTCTCCATATGTATTTATTATTATTTATTGTCCCTGTTACCCTATTACCCTACAACTTTTATATCCTTCATTCTCAGCTCCTGAGGATGTCGAAACTGAAGAATTTCATTTTCATTATGCCGCTTCTTATCAACCAAGGTGTGCTCTTGATGTCTCAAGATTTAATTATCTTTTGTATTTTCTCATTACATTAAATTCTTTGGGAATGTTTTGATTCTCAGAATCTATAATGATGTGATTACTCTTAAACATTCCGGCAATTATATGGTGAAGGTTACAATATCTCACGCCATTGCTCAATCTGTCAAAATGACCTTATTTGAAGGATTAATTGAAGATACTATCGAGGCTACAAAACATATTCCAATAACAATGGCAGAATCGGGTAAAGTCTCTATGTCAAGGTTTGCGTCGTTCGATCCATATTTTCATATTTTCATCGTTCATTTACTTTCGTAATTCGTCCTTATCCATTGGAATTTATCTAGAACTGCCATTACCAAAAAAATTGGTCAGGTAACCTTAATGTTATATATATTTTTTAGTCTTAATTTAATGTCTTCATTTACTTATTTTTATATTACATATAGTTATTCATAATGCGAATCAATATAAATTTGGTTAGCAATATTTTAGACACTCCTGAAATTTTTTGGTCTGAACCTGCGTATGAGCCGTTATATAGCGCTATAAGAGGTATGAATTGCTTTTGGCTATTTTGTTGTATTTTATGTTTATAAACTCTCTCATATTCTAACTTTTCCAAGGTTATCTTGAAATCTCTCAACGAGTCGAACTATTAAATCAAAGAGTGGCTGTAATAAGTATTATCTCTCTCCAAATCCATTTCTTCTATTTTTCAATTCAAAATTAGATGAAATTAAAAATTTTCTTTCATTACAGGTGATCTTTTAGATATGCTTAAAGAACACTTAACAAGTTCTCACGGTTTGTGTTATGTAATGTTTTTTCACGAACTATTGATTTTTATATTATTCACATAAATTGGTTTAAAAATTTAGGCGAACAACTCGAATGGATAGTAATTGTTCTTATCGGTATGTTTAAATATTAAAACTCTTTATTATTATAATTTCTAAATCCATTAATTTTATTCTAGCTTTCGAAATCATAATTGGCGTGATTACCATCTGTATCGATTCTGCAAAGTTGGTTTAGGTTTGATTTAGGTTCTGAAATCTTTTAGATTCATTCCAAATCAAAAACCTATGAACCATGTGTTTATATTATAGGTTCCAAACCTAATTTAAACCTGGTTTTACTTAGAAACAATTTTTAAAAACCTGGTTTTCAATTTTTGTAAAACATAAAAATAAAAATATCTTAATAAAAAGTTATTTAATTCATATCAACCTTTAGAATATATCTATTTTATCTTTTAAATAATTTACTTAATATGCTAATGTTGATTTATTTAATAAAATTTTGATTTTATAAGGTAAAAAGAGGTAATATAGAGAGTGGGTAAAGTGGCAAATCACTAATATTGAAGTTAACATAAGGTCTGTCAAATAGTGACTAATGGTTCTTATATCATTCAATATGTCCACCTTATTACAACAGTCAACCAATTTTAGATAGTTACCAGTTTCACCAACAACTTTAGTAGTACTATAATTAATTAAAAAACATTCGTTTCTAAACACTAGATTACCAAATGACCATATAAAGTAACTTTTTATTCATTTAGAGTGAATAGATACGTACTTTAATTTTATATTGATCAGTCGATCTAATTTATTTCCCAAAAAATAAAATTATAAATGTTATGCAAACACAAGTTAACTTGCTTTTTTTTTCTATGATAGAATTTAATAACAACCAACCAAATTCGATATCAAATTTTTATTTTTTAACCTACTATAAACATGTAGTTACCCGAATAAAAATGTTTGGTCGGAATTGATTAGGTAGTGCAGATAAACTTAAATGTTTCATAATTCTTTATTCCTTATCCCTCTAACGTAATTTGTACTTTAAAATGGTTTTGATCTATTTTCATCCAATTACTCTAAATTTTATGAAGTTATACCTTCTATTTTCTAAGCTAAAATAAAAGTATACCGTGCGTTGGTTATTTTATAATTCCTATTTCATGAAATTTCTTTAATAATATTTCAAAAATTAATTATTTAATGTTGGTCATAATAGTCTTAAAAAGGAATCTATACATAATACGTAAATGTTCACAATTATGTGGTGGCTGAAGTGGGGTCTCTAATTAAATTTATATTACCTACTAAAATTACTTGTATTCTTTATTAATAAAACTACTTCTAAATCTTAACTTTAAAAAAAAAGCTACCAAAAAAGGGTTCAAAAATTTTTAAAATTTAACATTAAAATATTTTAAAATTTTAGTTTTAGGGTGTGATGACTTAGTGAAGTGGATAAGTTGTCAACCCTCCAAGTGGTAGGTTGTGAGTTCAAAACCTATCGATGGTGAAAATTTGAATAATTATTTATGTAATATATAGACGGTATTACAGTGATAGTGATGGCATTCTGTTGATCAGTTAAGATAGGATACCTGTAACTATGGTCGCACCAGCATGACTGGCAGGTCACAGGGCATCTGTGTAACCTTGGTTACATAGAGGAATGCAAACTGATATTGGGCAATGCAAATCTAAGATAAGTTTTTGTGATTGTATAAATTTGTAGAACTGGGAAACTGGAGCCCACTTGAAAAGACCCAAGTAAAGAGGTAACATGGATCTTTGACAGTATCATTGTAAAGGTTAGACCTAAGAAACAGATATCAATGTGAAGAAGTTAGATGGACAAGAACCTTAAGTAAGGAGTATTACTAACCAGATCATCAGAACTGAATCAGAGGAAAAGGATATTTGGTCAGTTTGATATATTAAGAACAGATCACAGTCCTATTGGGTTATCTGAATTGGGAGTCTGAGATCAAAGCAAGTGTATATTATAAGTATTAGAGATATGCTATGAAATAAATACTGAGGTTTGGGTAAACTCTATAAGGGTTAGTCTTATTAATGTTTCATAGAGTGGGTAGATAGTTAACAAGGAGGTATCCTAGAATTCTATAGTCAGGTGATGTATTCTGAAATGTTTGATAGTTTGATAGATATACAAAAGAAGATAGCTAAATGTTGAGTTAGATGACACTTAGTTGTATGAAAACCAGATGTTATTCATTTGAGTATAACATAAGGATCAGAATATTTAAATAGGTATCCTCCTAATAGATTATAGGCATGACAACTAGTGTAGAACTCTTGGGTGGACTACTTAAATAGGTAACCAAAAGTTATACATGTAGCTAGTTGTACACTTATCTTGTATAAGTCACATGTAATACATTGACCAAAAATACAATAAAGGTGATAGCTATTGATAACATCAGCTTTAAAAATAATAATAATAATAATAATAATAAAATTTTTAGTTTTAGTCAATTTTAGTTTTAACTATTACAATATTATATATAAGAATGCTTATAGCAATAAATGAGTTTGATTCAGCCAATCAGATTTTTTTTTTTAAAATGACCTCTTGAGTCTTTTAATTTTTATTACCATTTTTGATAATGTGATTCTGTATAGAATTACTACAAAATAAATGTACAATTGATTACATGTATAACTTTTTTATATTACCTATTTAAAAAGTTTGAAGGTTTTTTACCAATTGTTATACTTAACATTCCAGTTTAGGTATTTTGTAGGTTTTGCATACCAACTTCATACAAACAGACAGTCAAATTTGTACAAACTAACAGTCAAATTTATATAAACTAACAGTTAAATTTGTACAAATTGACAGTTAAATTCATACATAATACTTTTAATTAAATCACAATATTTTGTAATCTAGTAACTTAAATTATATAAATTTGATACTATTTGATTTGTCAAAATTAGATAAATCAAATAATACTAAATTTATATAATTTAAGTTATTAGATTACAAGATATTGTGATTTAATTAAAAGTATTATATATGAATTTGACTGTTAATTTGTACAAATTTGACTGTCAGTTTATATAAATTTGATTATTAGGTTATACAAATTTGACTGTTAGTTTGTACAAAGTTGGTATACAAAGCCTGTATTTTAAATTTTCTAAACCTGTAATTTATATTAACTTTACTAATTTATATTTAGATTATTATTTTAACTAAGAATTAATTTTATCTTTAAGATAAATTTGATACTTATTTTATAACTAATTTGATATTACTATAACTAAACCAATACTTGTGATCAAGATTAGTTATTAAACTATCATGTTTCTATAAAGTTTATTTAAACTTCAGTTTTTTTTTTTTTTATTTT